TTTAAAATTTATTTTTTAAATTATAAGATTTAGAAAAAATTAAATTAAGTTTTAAGCTCTCTAAATATATGTTTGTGAAAAAGAAATAGAGAAAGAAAGAGATAATTTAATTCTTTATCTGAGATGTGATTTGCTCATACATTTAGCAAAAATGTGTGTTGTACATTCGTGTAAATATTGTTATATGCAATAATAATAAAAATATATGTTGATATATATATATAAAGATATAAATTAATTAAAAAAAATAGAAAAATTACAATTGTTTTTTAAAATTATAATCCTTTAGAAAATTTCATTATATTTTTACATTATATTTATCAAAATGAATTCGTAACGTAAAACTTAGAATCTATTGATTGCCGTATCACAACCTTATATGTATGAAGATCGGATTAGAAATGTGATAAAATAGCGTGGGCCGAAAGTGGTCGATGGATCGCGTAATCTTGCGTTAGTCATTCTCCCCGTTTGTCTGATTTATTTATGGGTTGGGCTACTTATTCGATGTAATGAAATTCTTAGTAAAATGACACGTGATAAGAAACTCGTTTCTTCTATCGATTTAATTACTGATCTTTGATCAATGACAGTGTATGGCATTGAAAGAATTGTCAATTATTTCCACCATGACATAAATAAAATAATCTAACTTTGATTAAATTTTTTACTAATGATGTAATCTTTTTTGAAAATTAACTTTTTAATTCTTTATAAAAAAAAAAAAACAAGAAGATAAATATATAAATATATTATAACAATTTTATTAGATTATTTATCATTTTTAGTCTTGATTATAACCATTATTATTTATATTATTATTATATTTTATATATCATTATATTATATATTTCTTAAAAATTTACAATCTTACAATACAATTTTTTACAAAAACAATAAAAAAAATATTTGTTGCATAAAAAAGGTAAAAACAATCTAAAAATTAGAATGAATATCAATTGTTAGGATAAAAGAAGTTAAAATAATGCCAAAAAAATAATAGAATTAATGAATTATATAATGTAAATAATAATAATTATATATATATTAAAATTATTCTTTAAATATTAATTATATATGTCAAAAAATTTAAATTATAAACTGCCATATAAAAATCAGGTGGTCAAACGAAAAAAGGCAGGAGATGGCGTAGCATTTGATTGTGAACCTGATTCTTCACTAATCTTGAAGATAGAAATGATTGTCAACGCCTCCTAGTGAGCAGGATTGTAAAAAGGAAGTTGAAGAAACATTTATTTCTTTATAGTCTCCACTCTATATACAAGTATAACTGTATGACCGTGTGTACTGTGCCGCTGACAATGAGCCGCGGCGGTGACTGTGATAAGTGATCGCGTACCCTTCCTCGTCGCTAAACGCGTAGTGGCAGTGGAGAAAGATAGTACGTCGACCAAGAAAAGAGTCTACCTCTTGATGACTCGCGCTTTACGCAAGGCGCAACGTAGCCGGAGCTCACAATTATGTTCGATGTACCGCCCAAGTTCTACGAGCTGTGTCGCCTTTGTTTATCGTCGGACGGTGTCAAATTGTCCATATTCGAAGAGGAAGGCGCCCAGCGAAATTTCGCCGATAAGATATTAACGTGCCTCTCGATTACGGTGAGTCTCGTCAGGAGTTTTCACCGGGTCCTCGTGCCGAGACGAAGAT